AATATTGGTCCCCAGATTTTTCTACTATGAAATCAGAAAGAATTTATTTCATTTACTTTGCTGCTCACAAAATACTTACGATAAAGACCACAGGGAAAATTAGTCCAGCCTTCAGGGATGAGAATGAGCTTATGAACAACTGATGATATAAGAGGAGCATGGAGTATGCTAAATTTTTACAATTCACTTACAAAGTCTCTTTTGTAATCCTGGATTGATTAAGTACCAGGATCTGCACTGTTCCAAAATCTTTCTCCATTTGCTTAGGCTATATTTGGCTTGTTGACCTACTGCAGGAAGAAAAAACTCATCACCATCTCTTCAATTTTCATTTAGGATACACTTAAAAATTTTGTTCTTTTCTCTGCGTGAAGGCATGGATAACCTCTGACTAAAGTTTGAATTTGCAACACCTGGATCCTTTTTGTAATGCAGAATTATAAATCAGAGTAGTAACTATTTCCCAAAAAGCACCATCATCCCACTATTCAGCTTGTTGTTCACAATTCTGCCTTCTGGAAGAGAAGGCCTGCCTCTGTGTACAAGAAGAGAATGTCACAGTAAATATAACAGGCATACTTTAGTCCAGACATTGTACCAAATAAGATATTTAACTGGATACTGAGAAAAGAAATAGGTATAATTTTATATGGTCCCAGAAACTGCTAGCATTTAAGACATAAAGCTCTTCAGACTGGTCTACCTTAAAACTGCACAGCAAGTCTTAACAACAGATGCTCAAGTCCTGACCCAGCTAAAACCAGTGGTTGTTGTACCAGTTTTAATAGGATTGGGAAAAGAGCTGGAAATCACATGTTCATATGAAAAATATGGGACTGTGTGTATTAATTAGAAGCAGAAAGTAAAAAACATTTCACTGACAGGATGTCCTTGTTTATACAGACAACCTTACTTGCTTTCAAATTCATCAAAGTATCTTTAACCCTGAAGTTACACTGCTTCTCAGCAGAGATCACGTTGTTTCTCATGTGCATACAAAGCATGGTTCATGCCAGAGAACTGCCCACTGTGTGGAGAAGCCCAAAGGCAAAGAACTTGGATGTTGTCTATGTGAACACGGCCAGCAAGCCTGTGAACAGCACAGCAACTCCATTCAGACAGCCTGTCCCAGCATCTCACCCCTGTTCCTTGTACAAAATGCCTTCAAGGAAAGGGTCACTTCTGAGTGCTGTCCACACCCACAAACAGATGTAGAAAAGGAAAGCTAGTACAGCAATTGGCCACAATAAACTCTCAAGAGAGATTCTGTAACCCACAATTCGCCTGGATAATCCCAGCCACGTAGTTTGTCTCCCATGAAAACTGTTTGACCTCAGATTTCTTTCTTGGAACATGCTACTAATTTTTTTTTTTTGCCGTATCCCTCCCTTGGGCATTCAGTGTAATAGCTCTGTTTACTGGAGCTTCAGCTATTCTAATGTAATATGAGGGTGTCAAAAACGCACTGCTATTTCAGGCTTACAAACTTAAATCAATGGCATATGATTATATTATGATTTTATATTGTAAAGGTAATATAAAAACTTCAAAGGAATCTTACCAGACACTAAAACTCTCCTAGAAAGACCTCACAAGTAGCCAGAGATTTTCAGAGAAGATTCCTTTACAGTGGAGTCTCTGTTTTATGTTTGGAAGTGTCACATTTTGTGCAGTATCAGATCTTTAGGACTTCCATCCAAGAAAACCACAGATATATATTGATGTAGAAGCACCTATTCCTTGCAAATAATTATAACATGGCAGCAAAGTATTGTAGCATTTTTATCTTTAGTCTTATAAAAAGATACCCAACTATCAGCACAGCACATAATAACAATATTTCAACACTTCTTTGATTTTTATGATGCAGAATCATGAAACTCACACAAAACATTTAGCTAAGAGTCCTTGGACAATAGCTGAATCCTAAGAAGACACCCAGAAGAGTCTCTATGACTCAATTTTATTATTTTCTCAAGTAATCATACATAGCCAAAGAAGATAAGTCTTAGAGCATATCATTTTATTACACCAAATCCTATGGTCATATATCACACATTGAGAATAGTGCAAACACCACTTTAAAGCTGCTCTGCAGGGGCTATTCTTCATTATGAGAGCCATTAGCATGAAATCAAGATTATATAGTTGGGAATTTTCTTCCTGAAAACTGCATTATTTTGTATAGTCTCAAAGTCCATCATTTATCTCCAGATGGCCATTATTCAAGGGCAAAACTGTAAGGGGTAAGCAGAAGAAGCAGCAGGTCTACATTGCTATTTAACAGTATTTATATTAGTATTTATAATCGTATTTATTATTTTAAAACATCAGAAAATTAATAGATTTTTGATAGCTATTAAAAGATGCCATTCCAAGTTGTGTGTGAGCGATTCACGTGCACAGGAGTTCACAGTATCAACATGGGATTGGCTGTTAGAAGTTAAAGTGAATCATTCTGATGGAAAACAAAATAACATGATCTCTGCCAGCCAGTTCTTGGAAAATAAACCACACGTGCATAACTTGTGAAACAAGGAGGCAGAGTTTCCATTCAATCAGCTTGTCTGAAACATCTATGATTTCTGTTTTGTTCTCAACAAATGTGCCAGTGTGTACAGAGGCTACAGAAAAACCAAGTGGCTGCTGGGAGGTTAGGGTCATGCTGCTGGAACTCTATCTCAGGCAAATATCTAGTCAAAACCATAAATGGTTCATAGTATTCTGAGACGCTGGTAGTAATACAGACCTAAAATACCAGAACTTGTCCCACAAGGATGAATTTTAATTATATTAACAAATCCAGCCATGCTTTGAATCTGCTTTGAGCCTGCTAGAATATGACTACCAGTAATAAAGAAACACCAGCTACATTTGCAACTTGCTGCTCTGCACTCAGGATTGTCAGCATATGATCTATATCCAACCAAAGCAAGATAAAAAATACTCTCCTAATAATGCCAGTGGAATACTCTGGCACATTGCTCTTTTTTTTTTTTTTTTTTTTCCCTCCCTCTCGCTTCATTTTGAAAAGGAGTTTATCACTGCAGCTACTACTCATTGCAAAGATACTGGAGTGTTTTCCAGACAACCAAGAACTGAGATAGAAAGCTTTGTCCCTCCCAACATGCAGAATCTCAAAAAATATTGGGTTATTTTTAAGTTACAATTTGAAAAACATGTGAATTTTCATCTTTGCAGTGTCAGCCTTTATTTAATGTGTAAATTTTAAGAAAACAATAACAGAGTGGGGGAAAGGAGAGCAGTATAGCATTTTGTGAAACTATCCACAGTATGATACAATACAGCTTACTATAATGCAACAAATCAGTTGGGATCTTATCTGGAGAATTTTCTTTATCTGTGTACCTTTTAAATCGTTGTTATTACAACCTCTTTGCTTTTAATGCTCATTCATCAGGAGGGCTTTTGTTATCTGAAGGCTAAGTAAACAGGAGGGAAAACTAGCAACCCAAGCTATTGTACGACACCGGACAATGTCCTACTGCCACCTTGTGTTGAGCAAAAAGCATGAATAGCTCATATCTCACAGCTATTTAAACAACAAAAAAACACAACATTGAACAGAAAATAAGCAAGGACAAAAATTTTCAGGAAGATGTGTGTGAGTACGTGAATACATGTCATATCTGGCAAATGCTTTAAGAGTTCACATGGAGAGGAAAATTATTATTTTCATTTCAAATTTGTCCTCACCAGCAAGCAGCAAATTTTACAATTACACCATGAAGAATGGGATTTCTTGAGAAGCCAGAGTCTTATGCTATTCTTGGGCTACTAATCAAACATTGCAAATGCAATGAAAAATTCCTACAGTGCTGTTACTTCTAAGAGATTTGAATAAATCCACTTGCTGCAGAAAACTTTCCCACTCACTGAATAAATCATATACAATGTCAGGATTGGTCTTGTGCTTGAACAATGGACAAAATCAATGCTTAGAGAAAATCTGTCCTCTGGTAGCTCCAGAGACATTAGCTTTCCTCGTGAAGCAATCACTGCACAGCAGCACACACACAAGCCAAGATAAGAGACAGCAAGCTCTTCTGCAGCAAATATTTGACCTCGCAGAATGATGTTAAAAGAAAATAGTTAATTAGGATATATTAGAGATGCTACCATTACAAAATGTTTGCTCTCTATTCCTCATTACTAGATAATGTTGACCCTACTGTGATGGTTCACTGAACATCATTCTTTATGTTTTAACCTGTGGCTTTGCACTTTCAGCTTCTGGTCTGCAGATCTCTCAAAGTCCTGTGAACTATTTCCAAGGTGCCCACAAAACCAGATATTTTTAAGAATACATTTTTAAGAAAGCATGCATCTTTTGTAATTAACTGTATATTCAAAGTTTTCAAAAGGTTTTATTTCTCCATGGGCTAAATTTTAAAGGTCCATAAACAGAAGCAGGAAGGAAAGCACTGAATTAAGGCTCAGACTTGATCTCAAAACTTTGGGCACCACTCAAATCAAAGCTTTTTTTTTAGGACGTCACATAATTTTACCTTCAGACCTGTTGAAATCAGTAAAATGTTACTATCAACTTAACTGTTTAGTATGGTGCCAAGTTATAAACTTCTTGAGGCTTTTCAAGGTTGCCATGCCATCATGGCCTTGGATTTCTATAATATAGTAGATAGCATAGTCATCAGCCAACCCTTCAGTAAATTAGAAAGTATCTTGGGGTGGTAATACTGATTGGTGAGGAGTGGTTCCATTGATTCCATCATCATCAAACAGTTCATATGAGCATTATGAAATGGTGGTGGACTAAAGCTGTGTCAGTTCCACCTCCCAGCAAGTCAGTGCCTGCAGTCCCTGTATTCCCAGCACAAAAGAATGGAAGCTGTACAGTTTCATCTAGTATGATAAACGGATGAACTAGTTACTTAACTCCATGAGCATGATGAAGACTCTTTTGAGACATTTATGATGGTTGCTACCCAAAGTCATAAAAATGAGCTAGATTAACGTACCTGGCAGAGCCATGGTGCTGTCTCTCAAGGCTCCACTGACTTCAGTCACTGCAGCCTGTCCTCAAGGCATTACGTGCAGGGTTTGTCAAAGTGCTGCTGCAGCAACTAAAATAAAAGGGTTAAGTCAAACAATAATAAATATGTATACTGTGAATTTCCACTTTGGTTTTGAGGTCTTTAACAACTTCCCACAAATATATTAACTCTTTGCTCATTATAAGAAAATTTTATCTTCTACTATTATATCTAGCAAAATCTGTGCTTTAGGCAGTCATGGGAACATGCTAAGATTTCTGCTGGACAAGGAGAGGTTGGAAGGCAGCTCTCCTCTTACTCCTGCTGTATTTGTTACTGGCCTTTCCTTATTGTTCCCCTCTGATTTTATCCTCTCCTTTTGTTACAAAAACAAAAAGCAAGACACATGCATTTTTAAGCCCAAAAAGTGCTAGGTTCACCTAAGTCTGATACCCCTCTTGTATATAAGAAAGATAACAGTCATAGAGAGATTATCAGACTTCGTTTCCCGGGACATCTTCCATTCTGTCACTCTTAAGTCCCAGTTGCTTTTGGCACTCCTAAATTTGTAATAAGGTATCATGTTTGTTTGAATCTCTCCTAGTCTGAAGAACCCACTCCATGTATATAGTCACAGAAATGCTCAATGGCCTCATTCTAGATCCTGAAAAAAAAAAAAAACTGCTATGGAAGACATACCAGGAAGACATTAGAGATATAGTCATTTAAATATCCTTAAGTGTAAAGGAGAAGTAATTGAGGTGGTCTCATCAGTGGCAGCACTATCAAGCTAGCAGTACTCATCCAGATGCCATGCAGGACATGGCATAATACAATGCACTAAAAACTTAAAACTGAAGATATTGCAGGGAGAAAACTCACCCATATCCACAGGTGAAATGCCCATCAATATCAAGGTGGTGCAGGATGGATTTGGATTATAAATCCATGAGAAGTCTAACTGCTGTCATCTGATCCCAGCAAACCCCTTGCTGTGCCACAGCCATGAAGGTGTTCAGATGGAAAACCCTATCTGGAAGGTCTGGCATAGAAGCTATGCCTTTGGAGGTCTTTCAATCAGACTATTGTGATGGTAGCCATCACTAAAACTTCTAGTAGACTAGTATTTTATCCTACTTCAGTCTGTAAATCCAGAAGGTTAGAAGTCTACAGGACAAGGGGGAATGGTTTAAAACTGAAAGACATTAAGGTTAGATTACCTACTAAGAAGAAATTCTTTAGTGCGAGGGTGGTGAGGTATTGGAACATGTTGCCCAAAGAAGCTGTGAATGTCCCGTTCCTGGGAGGGTTCTAGGCCAGGCTGGATGGGACCCTGAGCAGCCTGGTCTAGTGGAAGGTGTCCCTGCCTGTAGGCAAGGGGTTGGAACTAGATGATCGTTAAGGTCCCTGCCAATTCAGACAATTATATTATTCTATGACCAGCCATTCACTTAATTACAGGAGTGATGTTCAGCTGCTTTTCCTTACAAGAGTAAGAAATATTTATTTGTTAAATTCTTAATCCTTTATTTAGGGTTTGGGAATGATATAGCTCTATATTGTTTGAACTTGCCAGTGAAAGAAAACACAAGAGAAAATGTATGGTCACAGAGCAGCCCATTGTGCCTGTTTAGATTCACCCACACCATCATGGACAATGGCTGCTCAGCTGCCAGTATTTAACAATAAACAAACATCAACAAACAAAAGTGTTTGACAATATATGTAACTACTATTAGGACAGCAATTGGCTTCTTGTCTTGCATAACACTGAAAAAGAACTTATTCAGGAAGGACTGTCAGTATTTCAAGCAGAGGTTCTTGCAAGTACATCATTCATGAAAAGAGTCCTGCATCTGGGAAGAAGATGAAAGGGAGCTAAACAACCAGCAGGATGCAAACTGACAGCTGTTTAAATCACATTTCTAACTGCTGTGCTCAAGGTTTGATATCTCTGGGGAACAAGCAGGCAGTCATAGAAGGGTGGGACACAGAAAAACAGAAAAGATCAGCATATTATTATTTCTATTGTGACCAGACTGTCTGTTCCTGTCCTGTAACAGCTAATTACTGACTGCCAGAGTTTACCCTGTCAGCCCAGTTCAAATATCTGGTTATCCAGACCCTGTTTTTCTCTCTAAAGCTTTAGCAAATTTTAACATGTTTAACATAGCACTTCCCTCTGGCTTGCCAAGATAAACCAAGGCATAAACAGCCCCCTTAGATCTGGTACATTCTCTGCTGAGTAGTGTGCCAAATTCCCCTATCGTCCCAGGCACCTTACTTGCCCCCAGACCCCCTAACTAGTGATTTGCTAAAAAAAGTATCTGGTGAAGTAAATGTCCGGTCTTTTGCAAAGAAGCATTCCCTCTTCTGTCCAGGAACAAGAATAAAGCTGCTGGAGAGCATCTTACCACCAAATACTGGGGGGAGGATTTGCAGCAATGAAGGATGGTACTTTCTGGCTCTGATACTCCTCTGCATGCCGCCTCCATCCACGACAAAGCAAATCTCTCATCTGCACCATCCCATCTGTGAGTGCTCCCAGCCCTTGGCTGCATTTTTATACTGCTTGCAACAACTAGACCTCCACAATTCTCTCTAGTGAAAGTAACTACAACCCACTCCCTCTAAATCTGTCTCTCTGACAGGAGGAAGCTGGAAATACAGCTGGCAAACCAAGTAATTGAGATCAAAACCAGTCTTCTAGGAAAACTTGGAGTCCTATGTGGCAGTGGGAAAGGATGACAAGAAGGGAGGTAAGGGTACACTGACCCAACTCCAAATTCCTGGAATTGCTCCAAACATGCTTTACAAGTTCCCCATTGAATCAAACACCTGCCATCACATGAAACATTGATTAATTTCCATTCCAACTTTTTATTCTGAGCACACAGAATATCTCATAGACAGGCAAAATCTTTAATTTTACTTTGTACCGTCAGCAGCTGGAAAGCAGAAAAAATTGTGCCAATTAAAGTTTTCATCCAAATTTCAGTAAGGTTCTTCTACACTGCTTCAAAAGGTTTTATTCGGCTGTTCATTCCTGGTAGTTTACACTGAAACCAGTTACCAAAATGTAAAATCTGGCTGCAGTACCACATGCAGAAAGTGATGGTAAACAACATATTAAGTCTGACAAGGTGTTTGGTGAGAAGTCACGGGGTACTGGATGAGGCTATCCATTTTTCTGCAGCTTACACAGAACTATCATAACAGAGGAAAAGTGTGTCTTTACAGAGCCCTGTAAGCCTGCTCTTATGTCCACCCTGCCCTCGCTCCATCAAAGACTCTGACAATAAGAAAATTCAGAAAAAAAAGAGAAAATTAGTAGATGGCTGAAGGATGGATTTTCCTGCAGGCACTTTTTTCAGAACATGGATGATTACCACAGCTACTGCTACTATGAGTTCCTGTTTCTTAGTTCCCAGTCTACCTGTAAGTGTTCTCTTCCCACTGCCCTACAAAACAGCTCAGCCACCTCTCCCTACCCCCTCCCAGGTGCTGCTGCATACACCAGTCCTCTCTGCTCCTCAAACAAGTTTCTCTTCAGACCTAGCTATGAGGAACAAGGCCAAGGAGAGCAGAAAGCTTGTGACTGACACCACTATATCCTAGAAAGCCCCTTCCCCATGCCAAGGCTTATAACACACCATGAATCTCATGCAAATCCCTGAAAACCCCATCTACTCTGATCTGACTAGAATGAGAAGAGAGGGAAATAGCACAGCTGGGATGGGTTTAGATTGTATAGATAGAAAGCAGAGCTAGAAATCACATCACATACTGGTTCACTACAACTGTTGATTAAAACATAGCAACCGTTCTGCTTCATTCTTTAGTCGTGAAACAGTATAAGGCTGCAAGTAAAGCAGAAGTTTGTGCTGGATCCAAAACTCATTTTAGAAGTGAGGCATACCTGTCCCTTCACCTGTAAATCCACAAGAAGACAGTTATCCCTTCTGTCTCTGGAAGTTAACTGACTTAATTTTCATTTGCCCCTTTCGTATCCCTGAGATGATCCTCTGGTCTCCCTGAGAACTGTCCTTTTCTGGAATTTTCTCTTCTCTTTTTTTTTTCCCTTCCATAGGCATATATACACTCAAAATGTTTCTGCTATAGCTACCCGAGTCTTGTGGCACAGGTTATGGGAGGGCTTATCAGAGAAACAGGAAAGATAAGAGATTCAGCTTAAGGGACCTTGTGCAGCCTGCCAAAAATGAATGTAACAACAACAGATAGCAGGAGGTGCTGGCGACGGCTGCAAGACTTGAGAGACTGTCACAGGTGGACATTACCTGTAAATCTCTAGTGGTCCCAGCTGTAGGCCAGCTCTGAAATCTCAACTACTGGTCTCCATTTGAGGCAGGACTTCATGGCTTATACCACATTCAGATTTCATATTTCTAGGAAAAAGCAATGTGTTAAATTGCAGTATCCAGACATATTTTTTATACTTCTCTGCATGAGCATTTAGTCTCTATTCCAGATCTGAGATCCCCTTACAGAGTTCTTCATGGATCTCGAGATGATGGAGATACGGCTTTTATTTTACCAGAGTCCTCTTAGTCATCATTTGACTGCATTCTTATAACTTGATAACCACAAATTTGCCACTGGCTACAGACATATTGGTGAGAAATAGTTAACACATACGTTGGTTTATATCTGTGTGAGGTCATTACATCTGATAGATTCTGTTTGAGGGACTTCAGGCATCCATATAATCAGCCTGTGAGATAATGCACAGGAAAAAGCAGCAGCACAATGACACAGCCAGACTGAACTGTGGCATTTCCTGGTGTTTAGTAGTTAATGTCAGCCTTTGTATTTGATTTCCCTTGGATTTGTTGTTTGTTTGTGTTTTTCTCTTGAGGATAACCTTTCAAAAGCCTAATCCCTTCTGCTTTGAAGCTATGCTGCTTAGACAATAATTATACAGACACCATGAAATGTTGTTGGTGTTTGACTCTACATTAGGCCAATTCTATCACTTTATTCTACTCCCCTGTAACAAAGCTGCCTTTAAAGTAATATATAAGTGAATTGTGAATAGCATCTTTCATTACTTGCTGGACTAGCATATTTTTTTTAATTATATGCTATCTAGTTTGTAATTGGTTTTGGGTTCAGGGAGCTTGGTTTATACTATGCAAGCATAGACTATTTCTTTCCAAATAGAAGCTTTTTTTTTCCCTTAGTTACATGCTTTCGAAAGGCTCATCGTTTTATCAATTAAAATCAATTTGCAAAACAATACAATGCCCTGCAGTCCAGGAAGGGCTATTTCTTGTTCAGTTCCAATCTTTAATTTTTAGCTTTTCTTCTTCTTGAAAATGAGGTACCTTTTCTACTGTAAATTTGTGGGCTTTACTCCATCCAGTATCACTAGCTGAGCAAATGTTCCTAAATCCTTTCAAAGGCAATTGTCCTTCCATGGAAAACTTCATACATTTTAGAAAGATTTTCTATTAATAGCAACTATTAGGGAGTCGTTTTGGCTCCAATTTGTTTTTCTTCTATAGATCATATTTTCATTTGCTTAATCTCTCCAGCTAAGAGCTAGATTTTTTCCCTCTTTGGGGAAGGGATGGCTTTGCTTGTTGACTGACCCGTTTCCCCTGAGAGTGTACTTCTTCTTGGGAGTGCACTCACTACCTCAGTGTGCCCAGGTCTGTCCTGAGGGGTAGGAAAGGACACCTTTGAACACTGTAAAATCTGCAGACATTTTCACATTTAATTAGGCAACAAGGTCTGTTCCATTACATCTGGTCCTGAAACTTATATCACCTTGAGAGCAGCATAAGGAGTCAAAAGAAAACAAAAATAATACCACAAACACACACACAACCCCACCCCAAAAAAAAAAAAAAAAAAAAAAAAAAGAGAGAGAGAAGAAATTCTTGCATTTCTATAAGTGCCTCTTAAAGCAAATATATTTGTAGTATCACCTTTAAGACAGGGTGAGCACATCACTTTTTCCTAGAAACCAAACTGGATAAATACAAATGTAACACTGCAATGGTTTTGTAAATAAAGTCTTTGAGTTTGTTTTCTCACTTCTTTCTCTCAGAACAATACTCCCTCAATCCACAGTCAACATCCAGTGCTATGCAAAATCAAAGGCACTTACATCAGTTTAGGGATATCTTGATTTGGTCTGTGGATGAGTTTTGACAAAAAACACTTTACTGCAAAGGTTGTCTGCATTTTCAAGCAAACATTTCCAAGTTCACTAATCCCTCTTAAAATGTGCCCTAATTACACATAAGAGTCGAACATTTGTAGACATTAGTGCTTCCTCACAAGTTATCTATCAAATAAACCATCTTTTCCCAGGTTTCATTTTCAATTCGTATAACCAAAAAGTGCCTTAATCAATTCTGATGTTTTCCAATCAATTCCACAATATAACAAAACAATGAATTATCAATGTTTGGATGAATTCTCAAATATTCTGGTACTAACATCTGTGTTCAAAATTACTTAGCCAGTTAGCTCACCTGTTAAAATTAAAAACTAATCATAAATAATATAAACAAGGGATAGACAACTATTAGACTTCCATGAAAGATGAACAATGCATAGTTAGATCCAGCTGAATTAATCAAGACAAGAGGGGGGGAAAAAAAAAGATTGTTGGACGAGTAGAAGCATTTTATCTGCTCTTGCAAATTATTATATGCTTGCATGAGATCTGTCTTCCCAAATTTTCTCAATGTGAAAAGTCCAGAAATATAAAAGGCAGAAAATTTAATCCAATGGATCATGTTACCTTTGTTTAGTGGCATTGATCCTGAAGCCACTTCCGTCCGACCTGATAAACAAATCCCCTAGAAACAAATCTACAAGAAAAAGCTTGTTCCCCACACCAGCATTCAGTAAGGCTTTAAGAGAGAAAATGCTGCTGTTAAGACTAGCCATCAATTAATCAAGGGCTTGTTGAAAATTTGATTTAAAAGGATGCGACATATTCAATTGGCTATCTTGGTAAGTTAGATCATATAATTTTTCTGCATGTGTGTGGTGTATTTCTGCACTTTTTTTAGCAGTGTTTTCTTTACAAATATTTTGCTGCTGAGAAATTCCATTTACAAAAGAAACATAGAAATACCCAAAAAGAAATATTTAAATTTTTACTTCCTTAAAAAAAAGCTTGCTATAGTGAAAAGCAAAAAATGGTCCTATTTTTAATATAAAACCTCCATGAAAGAGGTCTTTAAACTTTTCTACTTGTGGAATAGATCACTATTTGCATGAATATCTGGAAACCACATACCAAGTTGCAAAATTCTGCTTGGAGAATGGAGAATTACCAAGAAAATATAATAAAAATAATTTTTAAAAAACCAATGAGAATGACTGGCCAAACAACAATCAGTGAGATGCAATTACACATCACAAAATGAGTCTTGAAATATTAAAAAACAATAACAGTAAATCTCAGAGCAATATTGTGCAATATCTTCATTTAAAAGGGGAAAATAATAGTATTTTCTCTTTATCATTCTGAAATATATTAAATGAGATTTTTAATAAGGATAAGTGTTAATTTGCTCTTACCCGTTATAGACAAATTAATAGATGCTAATATATTTGTGGCTATTCTCTACAGTTGTGAAAAAAAGCTATTTCTGTCAAAAAGATATGTTTTTTCCCTCTGTAAGAATCTGAATGATCATCTTCTGAAACCTTTTGAAAAAGCAATACTTTGAACTGGCAAACTTGAAAAATTAACTTCTTTCTAATCAATCTGATGGGACTATATCATTAGATTTAAAATATATAATATTCAATATATAATATTCAATAATGCAAGAAAGAAGTCAACATAGATTTGAATAAGCTAATTCTAATAAATGAGAGTTCTTTAAATAAGCTAGCAATCATGAACATATTTAAGATTCCACTTAGCAAAGCAGCTAAATTAAAGAGGTTGAATTCATCATCTTCATTATTACTTGAAATGTCAGTCCAGTTTTAGAGAGACTAAACCCTAAAATATGTTAAAACAAAGCTTCATGAATCAAAGAATATATTACTTTTTTCAGTCTTATGAGAACATAAGACTATAAGACTGATGAATCAACAGATAAGTTACTAATATAAATAATTTTCTTTATTATTTGATTACAACAGATACATAATATTTACTACAAAGTACTTTTAGGCTGAAAAGAAAGCAAGAGTGATGAGACATAACTTACCTAAGTGTTAAATTTGTATTTGCTTAAGAATTCAGCAAGAAATTAGTACTTGTACACAAAGAATTTTGCAGCAAGTCCTGAGAGCAAGTGAATAATTTTTTATCCCACCTACAGTAATGCTACAATCTCATTTATTGATGGGGGAGTGGCAACGAGAAATCAGGGGATGCAGTGTCAGATGAGCAGAGTTTCTAAACTCAGTTACTCTTTACCATCTAATTCGTTCTAATGAGTCATGCTGACACTGCTGGCACACTCAAAGTTAGCAGCTGTTTAAACAGCTTGCCAAAATTGGATCCTGAAACTGTTGAAACCTGCATTTAAGCAGGATTCAATGCAAAGGTAATGGTTTCTGTACTAGCACATATCTACCTTGTTTTGTTTGGATATTTTTAATATTTGCATATTTTACCACTTAAAAATTCATACGGCAAGTTTGTAAGAACTGTTTCTGATCATGTTTCCTAGGTACACATAGATATAAATCTTCATTATGCATATTAAAAATGCAACAGCCAAGCTCTGATTATTCTCCAGACCCGGTCAAAGAAACCTGCACCTGCGTGGAACCTCTAGACAAGGAAGCTGATCTCCATAAGGAAAATGCTGCTTGGTCTGAAAGCAGCAGCCCAGAAGATGTCTTCAACTCCTCTGAAATGCAGACAGTACCAGCCTGTATGGACACCACCTTGCCTCCTGGAGACTACATTCTCAGACGAGGTTACACAGAGCCTTCAGTTCTGAGGCTTCCTACAGAGGAGTGCATTGGGACCCACCATGTGCCTTTCCAGTTCAACCGTCATGCTCGGGCCAGAATTTCCACTTCTCCAACTTTAAGGCGCCTAAGGATGGCCTCTGCCTCACAAGCACTATCATTTCAGGACTGTTCTGAGACAGCTCAGCTGGGAAATCAAAAGGAATACACTGGCTCTCTCCACCACATTTGTAAGAGTCCACCTCGGTGCATCACAATTTCTTCATTGTCATTGCCTTCTTGTGTCCATGCAAAGTTATTGTCGTCCAAAGCCAAGTCTGAGGGTACTATAGCAGTTCCAGAGTCTGACATACCCAGATCAAAGCTTCCAAGCAAAGAGGATCCTCTCAGCAATGACAGTCCCAATGAGCAGCCACCCAGAAACTCTTGGAGAGCCAACTCTGCTACACTTCCTACGAGACTCCCCCACCTGAGCCCTACACTTTGGGCAGGTGTCCAGGTAAGAGGAATAGAAGGATACAACATCTATTTTAGTCTTTTGTATTCAGTGTTGGTCCATCATGAGCCAGTGCACAAATAAAACCCCAGTTCTTAACCTGAACTGCATGTTGGGCCATGACCCTTTAACACAGCAGACCAGTTTCTACACTTAACAGGAAGGGAGATTTTTCTTTCCAGATCAGCAAGAGACAGTAGTTCCAGCCTCGCCTCTTGGTGACAGGTTAGCTTAGTCCACTCCTGTGCAGGGCGACTCTTTCCCATCTCTGTCCATTCACCCTGGTGGGCCAGTACAACTGTTGGTGGGGATATGAAAGAATAAGACTAAGTAATTGATACTGTTTAGGATTGGGTTTCAGAGGACTATTTTCTTTCAACCCACTCTTTATTTAACCCTTCAGCAGGATTATTCCTAAGACAGGGAAGTTCTCTATTCTGTTTCACTGAATGGCATTACTAACCCTAATAAAACCAAGAATTAAGTTGGTTGAGTCAAATTTAAGGTCTGCTACTACCAAATGAAGAGGTACAATTCCCTTTATTTATTTCAACTTACCTAGCTCAGCCACTCACTGGCACCCCTCCCTTTTTATGTCCTTCTCCATAAACAAAAAAGCAGTTGTGCAATCTCTTCCGAAAAAAAAGGAAACCCTGGTCCATTGAGTGTCAGAATCAGTGAAGAAAAAAAAGCAAGGGAGGAGCCAACCCTGCATCTTTCAAGGGCAGGAAACTACAGTTCAGCTCTCCACAAGGACAAAAGGAGAGGCTTTTTGTACAAGCCAGGTTTGCTACTAGATCTGCTCTCAAAGATCTTCCACTGTGTGCAGAGGAAGTTAATGTCACACACACTCGACTCTGGCCTTATGCAAACAGCCTACACACACATATTTTGCTGAGGGTAAATAGTGGCAAATAGGTGTAGAGTTCTTCACTAGCAGGTTAGCTTTGCACTACAAACCCCAATAGCCATTTTCCTCCTCCCCCCCAACCCCTTCAAATATAGAAAACATTTTGGATATCAAATGAGGTCTCCTTGCTCCACAACTGTGAAATTAATTAGCCTATGCCCAAGCCTGTTATTAGTATATTTCCCTTTACAAACGAGCTCTTTTTTCACAAAAAATCAGGTTGCTTGCTTGCTTTCTGACAAACTAACTAAGAATATTCACTTTCTTTCAGGAGAGTGGACTGCCCATGCAAAGGTATGTACATATTTATTTTATCTGATTCTAAGCTTGACTCTCCTACATTTTTAACAAATTTGCTTCACTCTAAGACAAAACTGAACATTGAATCATGTATACGTAACTCCATCCTAATTTGTACATTTGCTGTGTGAAACGCTTGTCACCAGCTCACTAAACTTTTTAATGAGATTTTCTTTCAAAGGTGGCCCTCTCCCTAGCACGTTTAGCTACATTGCACAATAGCAATATTTCATCCGGATCATCGGGAGCTTTGCACTAGGAACTAAGTGCTAAAAGGTCCAGTTGTTTGGCTTAGCAGTGTCAAACTCCAGCTTGAAGAATGTGAAATATCCCCTAATCTTGAGTGACATTCTTCAAAAGTTTGTGGAAGGGAAAAGGGAGCAAAGGAGCTAGCAGAACAGCTCATACATAAGCAAAGATCTAGGACTGCTAATGGAGAGGGGAATTATAAATCCTACCAACTAAGAAGAATACATAGACTACATGGATTTTATAAGTTAGTGCAGACTAAGATAAGAGCGTTGCATACCATATACCTATGCAGTGAATTGTGTCAAGGTCTTCGAAACAATTTTCAGAAAGTAAAAATGCTATTAAAATTATTTTGATTAAGATCTGTTTCTTTAAGATATTCAAATGTTTACAGAAGGGATGGAAAGTTTTCTTTTCTCCCCACAAAACAAGGAAGCAGGAGATAGTACCTCCATTAATAACAACCTCTCTCTCATTGATGGAGTATTGCTCACTTTACTGCATGGTTCCCTCAAGGATGTTTGGGACTGGGTGGTTTGGAACAGACTGATATAGTCTAGGATTCCTTACACAATGCAGTTCCCTAGAGGAGAGTCAAGAGATGTGTGCATGTGAATATGAAATTACATATTCACTGAAGAAGAGGCCACCTGGATATTCTGAACTGCTGCAATTTCTAACCCACCCTTTAGCATTTTGAATTTACAATGGAGATGGAGAGAGAAGGGGAGGGAAAGATCTTTTCATCTGGATGCAAAAACAAGTGATCCATACCTTTCGTGGGAAACATCTAGTCTGATGCAACTCAAAACAGGAATAAATAAACATATCTCACAGTCAGCATGAAGATTTGTGTGATATGTAACAAACTTCAGGGGAGAAACTGAAGAGACTGAACACAGATGGTTTAACAGAACACTGAATATTTAGTGTACACACTTTCTCTTGGTCCTGCTTGCCTGTAGTGGCTTCAGGAGGGAAGTAACTATATGCCAGCTAGGGTATTGGCTTTGGACTTCTAGCCAGACACGTTTTAAAATCAGAAACCACAAGCCAAGGAAACAATCCAAGATTTTTTCCATAGGCACCAGCCAGAAAGCTTGTCAAAAGGTGGTTGGCATTATGTGTTATGCATTCTATCTAGATAAATGTTAGAATGTTCAAAATATATTTTAAAATGCACCAATTTCTGCTTTAAACATTTTTTTGTCAAATCTAATTTGGTCCAAGGTCTGGGTTAAGCCTTTATTCAGCTCCTCCTTTAAGATCATTAGCCTAACTCCTTAATAGCTAATCCCTTCTTATCACAGCCAGCAAAAACTGTTCACATGTCAGATTATTCTCTCCATCTAGAAGCACATTAGGACAGTTGGCGACTCTTCTCCAGGACTGACTTACATACTGTCCTAGGTAAAATCATACCTCTGACCTTCAGTTTTAAGGAACATCTCCCTTCTCCCCAAGCTGTACTTTCAAAAAACATCTTTAATGCACTCATACTCATTCTAAAGCCTTCATAATGCACTCATTTAAAGCCTTCTCCCACACAGTCCTCAGTCAAGAATGCCAGCACATCCCTGTCAGCATAGTAACTTGCTGAACTGATGCTGTTTATAAATAAACATCCAAAATAAATAAAAAAGGCAAGAGAGGCAACACAGATAGAGGTATATGTGGTGGAGAGAAGGTGAGATGCCAAACCAATACTGCCATGGAAGAAAACATTGATAAAACAAAACCTCAAGTTTACTCTGATCTCCTTTTCTCCTTGCACCATTCAGCATTATCAGACACTGGGTGCAAAACTGCACTGCACTATTTCCTATAGCAAATCAGCTAATGAAGAGCCTTCACAGTAACTGCCAAGACAGTTCATATTCAATGCCTTGAAGGAGCTGGGCTCATCTATCTTGAAGTACTCCCATTCCTCTTTTAGTGATTCACACAGCTGTAAAGTGTCACAGTGCCACAGAATCACAGTGGGTAAGGTTGGGAAGAACCACAGTGGCTTGGCTGTTACAATCTCTGCTCAAGCAGGGTCATCCTGGAGCACATTTCACAGGAGGAGGAGCATCAATTACACTAAACCTAACTCCTTATGGAATCATAGAAATAATTTACTTTTGACAATAGGTCATTTCCCATGCTAACTTTTTGAATCAAGGAGTACAGAGACACCCCCCTGAGCAGCTTGGGAAACAGTGTCACTGCCTGGCAGTTATCTCACTACTGTGAGCACCCTATAATATTTACCTTAGAAACAGCCTCTGTTACTTTTATTCACATCTAGTGGGTATTCCTTTAAGTAATATATCTGCTATTTAAGTAAGGTAATCTATATAGATGTCTGCTCCCTGGGATAGCTAGTTAGGCTAAGATCAGGGATGTATGAAGATACTTTCTATGCCTTAGAAATAAATACATACACAGGATATTTATTTTGTCAGACCATTACCTGCTTCAATGTCTTTAATAATTTTCCATAACTTTGCCATGTAAATCTATGACATTAGCATGTTTCAAAAAACAAGTGGATTTGAAGAACAAATTATTACAGATTATATCTCCTCAGATGCCCAAGTTTGTCCCTAAAGTACAAGAATTTCTTTCATTCCATCATTGCAGTCCTCTGCCCCCAGTAAGTGAAACAAACAAAAAATAAAGAAAAAGGCAAAGCTACAGATTCTGAAGGCGTGAGAAGATGCTAAGATATTGCAGACCTAAAACCTAGTAAATTTTACTACATAGAACTTCAGTAATTTAATTTCTCCAGAAAAAAAAAAAAAACCAACAGAAGCATCTGATGTATCTAATACATCTACAGGCATCAGCCCAGGAAAACACAGATACCTATGCTTCCATCTCTGAAGCATGAGTATATAATTTAGACTTGTAAGCCATTAACCAGCCCATGCTCATCAGATTGCAAAGGTATATTGTATACAGGCACCCAGGTGATCTTGTCATGGCCCCACATTTCACAGGCTTGTGCACCTATGTGAAGAGCTTGTTTAGCCATATGTATGCCTGAAGTTCAATGCCTTTTTGATCTGGTAAATAATGTCATTTAACTCAGTTACAGTGACTCTGTGCTTCCATTATTAGTCTTCATAAGCCACTAGCCTGCAGCTTCAAATATGTTGTGAAAATACTACTAGGCTGGTTGCTTTAAAAACCAATAATATACTGGCAAAATTTTACTGTAAAGCCAACCTGAAATATATCTCCTGAATTTCCTAGTACAGTAAAAACACCTTTGAGGATTATCTTTATACTGTAATGGCACACCTGACCTGTAAAATAGCCAGCTGCCTAAAAGATTGCACCATGGTTTCAGTGGCATCTTAATACAATCATTACCAACAATGAAAATTTGCACTGGGTATCACTCAGTGCACATCTTAGGAAGGCACTCCTGAGAGGAATACTCCTCTCCCTTGCAGAAAGCCAAGAAATAGACCCTCCATCCGTTAAAGCTCTCAAACCACATACTGAGGGTTCAATTTCATAAGAAACCACAGAGTTTCATTTTAAGTCCTAAAACCAAATAAATAAATCCTATGTTCTCCATTCAGTAGGACGAGCAGAAAAACTTGCAAAGAATGCCTGCACTGCACAGTGTAACCTCCTAAAGATGTAGTTTTAAAGCCCTGCTATGTCCATGGCCCAAGTGTTAAAGTCCCAGACCTGGCCCTCTTGATATAGCCTACAGATCTCTCTTGCTAGGAGCAGCCTTCATCTAGACCATTCAATTGTTTAGCTAAGGCAATTGCAAGCAGCATACCTGTCAGGTCATTAAAAAGGCACAATCTCCATGTCTTACTATACATATCAAATCCCAGTTCTCCACCTCAGAGCTCATCTGTCAGTTGATAAGCTGTCAAGTAACTATTTATGCACTTAGAGGAAAAAATACACCTGCCAGGTTTCACACCAAATGTGGCAAATGGCTAGACATTCACAGTAAGATAACTGCCTAGACAAAGAAAGAGCTCCGTAAGAATCATGCTTAACTGACCAAAAATATCATGCACAATAAGTGGTGACTGAAAAATAAAATTTTTATAAATGTACATGTACTTTGTGCCTCCTCCCTCAGCTACTGAATTACTGACCCTTTGAGCACTAATGCAGTATTCATGTACTGCAGGCGACACAACAGCAGGTGCAGAAGCAGCCTGTCTGCAGCATATACTAATACAATTCATTAGGTATCAGTGTGAGTTATTGGCAAAATACAAAAAGGTTTTTAACATGCATCAACAGTTTCTGTATGTAAATGCAAGCAGGCTCTGGCACAAACACTCTGCTAGATACAGAATGCCAGTGTCACTTTTCTTCATGGATCTAAATCCTGGACAATGTTCTCCATTAGGAACAACAATAGTTGGAAAGGGACATTTTTCAATCAGTAGGGCCACTGAGTCATATTACATTCAAAATATTTTAAATAGCAGAAAAAAATGCCAAAAATGCTTAGAAAGACAATAGTACAAACTAGCAAAAAGGTTAAATAATTTTTTTTTTTTAAAACCCAACATTTTAACTGCTTCAGTAGTGTGTTGTCTTTTCTTGAAAACACCTGAGCTATAGGAAGGCTAAAACTAGCTGACACATGTCAGCTAAAAACAGTACTTAATTGCTCCATTAAACTCCACTGCCAAAACATAGATTCTAAAATCCCCACTCACTTTTTGTCTATCAGAAGAAACCAGGAATTTTCAATATTTAAATGCTCTAATCACTTATTATCTGAGGTAAGCCACGACCATAACACCCTTGGATCTCAAAAACAATGTGGAGTTTGAAAGACAACTGGGTATTTGCTGTCAATCACTGAACTTCTCTGCTTGTTGTTCTTTTAACGTATTATGTCATAGCCCTTGTGATTTGGTTTTTTAGCCGATTCCCTCCTGTATCAGCAAGTTCCCCCTGCAGCCTCAAGAAGACAGAGATGATGTGTGTTGTTGTTGGTCTCGCAGATCAGCCGAGCGCAGGCGAAGCTCCCTGGTAGTGAGTCTGCCTGGACTCGAGGTGTTCCCTGGAGACCTCCTGGTGTCAGACAGTGCCATGGACTACCTGCCCTACTCATCCTTCCTGCTCAGTGCAGGTCAGAAACAGGGTGGGGTTTGCTCCTCTGAGCCCAGCAAAAGCTGGGACTGGAACACGTGGGATGGGAGGGAGGATGTATACAATGAGAACACGAGGTGGTGCAGTCTCTGTGGAGGAACTGTTTACACCACACCAAACTGACTCCATTGCCAATTTGAAAATTCCTATTTTCTTTTTTTTTTTTTTTTCCTGTTTTCTCTTTTCCCCCTGCATTTTTCTGTTGAATGCAAAATGCAAGTAGATGAGAGGGTAGGACACAAATCACATTGCTCCTCCACAGGCTAGAAGCAACCAGAGCCCACGCCAGGACCTCCATCTGGAAGCAGCTGAGGTACAATTTCCTACCTCCACAGCTTCAAGCAGAGAGAAAAACTGCCCATGCTGCCCTTTGCAGTAGTGCTCTGATCACAAGGGTAGCAAACCCAACTCATGGCTAGAGATTTCTCACAAGACATTAAAAAACTGAAATACAGACCTGCAAGCAATTTCCACAAATATCTATTGTAGAATGTAATATAGTGCAATTGAATATAGTATAGAGCGAATATAGTATCGAGATCCTGGTGGCCAGAGATCAAAGGTTTCTCAAAAAACAAGTCAGCCAAAGTTACAACCAGCATTTTCATGACAACAAATAAGCCAGCCATTCCCAGAATGGCTAAGACCTTCAAAATACAGAAACACTGTGTGATTCCAACATACCTGAAGATAGGTGCCGCATAAAGAAAAGCTTTTCAGATTTCTTGTTGGACACAGCCACTCCTCACAAGTCACCAGTGCACTCCTAAATCTAGATCCCCAGCTTTCCCCATCCCTCACCAAGGACCACAAACTACAGTCTGCCGCACTGTGCCAGCCCCATGACAGATCTGAGGCTTAGGGCTCATAGGATTGTTTATTCACTGGAGATTTAAAAACCTGCATAATTCAAACTTATCATAATGAGAAGGCACAGACTAATTCTTGCTTTAAAACAACATCTTCAAAAAAATGGCTTGAGATATGATGGTTTTCCCAGGTAAAGAATCACACAGTGATCATGACAATTACCTGCAACAAGTAGGACTGTTCAGCATCATCCAAGATCCCACCACAGACAGTCATAATTCTTCCTGGGAGGAACACAACAAGCTTAATGGGTTGTAAGTCTGGTGCACAAACTGCATGAAGTCAAGTATTAAGTATAAGCCAAGTAGAGTATTGTCAGAACTCATCCCCATATGGGCCACCAATTGTTGGTGTCAGTGCTTAGCGCCAATTGAGTGGATGGGAACTGACTGTCACTGTTAGTTTATTACCTTACTGTAGGACTTTGATACCTTCTCTCTGCGAGTTCTCATGGGCAACTCCTCATAGCACTGACTCCTTTTCTCTTCCTTACACAAAGCTGGTTGACTTCTTCCTGTCCCTAACACACACACCTGACCCTCACTCCTCACAGCAGCAGAGCCAACTGACTCCAACTCTTTCTCAACCAGCTGAGCCACTCTTTTATAACCCATCCTTACTGGACACAGCTGTGCCCTATTTAGGGCAGGACTGTTCCTACTCTTTGGTAATCAGTACAGCTGCAACTCCTCAGGGGTAAGACTGCCTTCAGCACTATCTCTGTTGTCTCACAATCCATACTCACACAGTGTATAGTCTATCAAGCTGCATATATAAATAACAGTTTTCTTTATCTGTTTCCTTACTGATGACACTTGTTTTGCCCATTAGAGTCCAAAAAGTCAAGGTGGCCATTTGCCAAACGAGGAATTGTGAGTATTTTTACAATTTTATTTTTCCTGTCACTGACCTTGCCTTTTCCCACAACTAACCTTGGTAAAAGTAGCTCCTTTACTTTCTTGCCCTTGGAGAAAGGCAGCCAGCAGATGAGCTGAACTCAGAGGTGTCCCAGCCTCCCTGGGACCACTTGCACATTAATCTGCAATGAAGACTGGGTGGCTCCAGTGCAGCCATTGCACGTGATGCACATGAAAACAGTCGGTGCCACTGCTCCCCATCCCTGTGGGTGGTGGGAGGAGAGGTGTCCTTGGCACTGGGAGGGCAGAGTGGGATGGGCAATGAGAGCAGGGGCTCTCATTCAGGGATGGCAGCAGGCCCCATGCATCTCCCGAGGGTAAGGTAGCACAAGGTGAACAAACCAGTTGCATTGTTGCTTTCACCATCGTATATCCTGCATTTTCTGTGTGCCTTAGGGCTTTGGAGAATGCGATGAACTGCCACTCACATGGAAGGGATCTAAGCTTTATTTACACAAGCAGCATTCCAGGACACTTTCTGAGGCCTTTCCTGTCCTCAGGGGTGCCCTCACACTCAACAGTGAAAGCACAGTGAATTTCTTTGTCTAACACAATTTGTTATCTTTTCCACTTATGAAAACTTTCACTTACTAAGGTATCTGAATTTTCTTTCTGTATACTTTACAGCATTCCAAAAATTATTTACAAGTTTCTTGATAACATTTTTTCCCAAAGCATGTAATTAAAAACAGTCCCTTCCCAGTATTTTTTGCATTTTATCAAAGAATAGTTTGTGCATGCAGAACCAATGCAAGTATTTAGGTTTATATGTACAAGAACTCCCTCTTCATTTGATAGTAGTTTCATAACATTTGAAGGAGCAAGACCAAAACCTGAGGATTTTTAAATTTCAGCAAAACACTTTAAATCTGCAATAAAAAGCATTTGATATTTAGACAAAAGTTATTTCTAAGACTATTAAATGCCAAAAAATTTAATTCATGAAAATTCACTTGCTGGTACACTGGTTCAGTGTGCATATATATTAACTGCATTATTTTTTCTGACCTATTTCAATCTATCTTTCAAAATTAGGAGCTGAACCTAAACCCCAAGTTTCAAATATTATAATCAAACACATATTTCAAAATTGGCCTGAGTTCAGTGCCTAAAGTTCAGATAATATAAATCCATGAAGTGGGAATATACTGTTCCAGAGAACAGATAAAACTTAAGCAAACACCTTATAAGTCTGTGCCCACAGTACTGAATTAGAGTTCATAAAGAATGTTTAAATTTTTTAGAAGGCCTGAATAAACAAAGCCAAACAAAAGCAATTGTTTTTATTTCATGGTCCCTCACATAATGCCCTGCTGTTCTTTTAGCTTTTTGAAAGCTCATTTTACAGACACTACTCTGCAGATGACCAAAGGAGCTTTTTCCATACGTAGCTCAAAAAATTAAAAATAAATAAAAAAGCACATAAACTTGTATACCTATGACAGGATTGCAACTATGATTCTGTTGTCCCCTATCTCTGATAGTGCTAATGGAAGCAAACATTTCATTTGTTCTGTCTTCCAAGGTTAGCCCATTACCTGTTACCAATGGTTTGCTCTGTCAAAGACTTGTGTAGTATGTAAATAATAGTCTTACACATCCAAACCTGAGGCACTTCCACAGCCCACCCACAGCTACAAAGAAACCTGCCATCACTGCCTTGTCTCTGTGTAGAAGAGCTTGGAAATATAGAGAAATCACTCATTTAAGGGCAGACTCCTTAAGGATTAGGGCAAGAGGGGTAAACTTCTTAACAGTCTTTAAATCACTGTGTGAATCAGGGGTGGGTTCTTGTCATTCAACAGGGTAAAGACAAACAGAAGCAAGCCTCTGATCTGGAAAGTTGTCTTACTACTGTTAAGATCACAGACCACTGCACAGATGAATTTTTCTGCTTTAAGGTATCAAAATACTCAGTATACTGTATCAAGGATAATTAAGGATGGAAGGAGAAATTCTATGTGCTTTATAAGCTAACATTTCTCTGTTCATTAATCTGGATATGAGACCTTTCTGTTAAATGAATGCATAAGTATATGGTATATTTTTGTCAAAATGACAAATGGAGGGGCAAGTGGGAAACTGGGGGTCAGAATAGATTAGCAAGGACCTTCAAAATCATCTGGATTTTGCCAGGGTTTCAGATTGCCCTAGGTCTGGGAGGTATCACCTTCAGAAAAAGGTCTCAAGACAACACCTACAGTGTACTACAGGTACTAGAAAAGCAGAGGAAAGAAACTACAGCATCAGAGAGATGTCAAATGGCACACAGCTACCCCCATTGCTGTGTTCAGAGGCAGCCACATGCAGGTCACTGCCAACACCAAGGTTTGGCTCTAGAAAAGCCACCAAAGCCTGTCTGCCAGACAAACAAGGCTGCGGACCCCTAGCCACCTAACACCATCCCCTCTCTGAAGCAAACCTTTTGCTTCTCACAGCAGGCTGTTATCTGCAGCTCCCCACACACAGTTGCTGAGGGCTCCTGTCAGTGTCTAATTTATATATGGACATGTGACTTCAGAGCATGTCTCTAATGTGATAGTGGCCACCTTAGGTCTAAACAAAGCAATTTCCAAGTGACTATGACCTAGTCCTTTGGTACCTTGATTTTATCATGATCTAGAAAATAAGAACATATCACCCACACAAGAGCAAATTCCATAGCATTTGCAAGCTGCCCACTAATTTTTGATACAACATACCTAAACACAGACCATCCCATTGTGTTGTTTTCAAATTCAGTGTGTTTATATTGCAAGTGTTTTAGAGGAGAATGGTGGGGTTTAAAATATTTTAAAGGCACTTTTAAGCTTTCAGAAGAAAAATAGCTAATACTGGTAGATAAAATTTACAAAGTAAATAGGACATAGATTCTTTTCATAAGGTCTGAAGCAGCTGATACAATATTTTTTTTCTCTTTTCTTCAACCAATAGAGTAAATCTTGGTATGAATTTATAAATGAGCAACAGACTAAGCAGAAAGATGTCAACAGCCAGTTAGAAATGAAAAAAGAAGCAGCAGTGTGGGAACTTTTCACAAGTGAATGCACTTACTTTCTGGATCATTTGCTGGTTCTCAAGATGGTAACGTCAGATTTCACTTCACAAAAATAATGAAACATTATTTGTTCTTCTGTGATGGACACAAAGCCTCCTGAAACCTCTCCTTAGAGATCTGTGGAGGAATGACTTAAGCACCTGGTGTTTCCTTTCACCTTGCCTGCTCATCCTGTTTCTATAGCTCCCTTCTATGTCTTTATGATGGTATCTCTTCTAAACATCACTTTTCAGTGATGCAGTCTAGTGCTCTGCAACTACCATCTGACTGCAGAGCTTTCCAGGATATTCAACCGATATTCCATCAGTTCTCTCACAAGCACTGTACTGAAACCATGCAGCAAACAGTTATTCCTGTACAATTGCTAATATTGCTAGCGTGCAACATTATATTTGTCATTTAACTTCATACAGAGCTGTGGTTAGATTATCCTGACAGGAGCATGAAAACCTTAGAATTCAGCAGACCTGTAGTTTTAATGTTACACGAAAACAAGTATACTGAAAATAACTCTGCTCCCAAAAATTCCGTATTACCTCCAATACAGTGAATTTTAAGAGTTTGAAATATAGACAGGAATATTACAGACTGTTACAAGAATAGCTGCACTAATTATATTCACCACACATCAAAAGTTAGTGTATCCATTCAAAAGGATAGAAGCTTCCACAAATCATTTTTCTCTTAGTCGGCACAAACAATTTCTGATTTCTTATTAAGTCAAAGAAAAGAGATTTGTGAAACATTTTCTATGTTGCTGAAAAGTTATCCTGCACAATACAAGAGCAAAGTAAGGGAAATAAATAGAGGAGTGGGCTGAATTCTTCCTTGGTGGGGCAGAACAGGAAGGGACAGAAAACAGGATAGCAGGACCAGCTATTGGTTCAAGGCAGGACCAGAGCATCCTTCTTTCTATACGCTTTGTTTAGAAATCTGAAAAGTTTAAAAAGTGGTGAATACTAGGAAGAATGAAGATAACAGCAGGAATGCAGGCTCCTTGTGAGTCTGATGTAGGAACCCACAGACAAGCCTTAGCCAGCCCTGCATGGCCCATGAATGATGAAATATTCAATCCATGCCAGTTTCCCAAACTCGCCTGCTAAAGAAAGAGCCCATTGCATTTGGGTAACCAGTTTTAAAGATATATGCTTACTTCCAAGTATAGAAATATTCCACTGATTTTCATGAATCTCCACAGGGAGCTTTTAGACCCACCATAAAGCCACTTTAAGCTCTCAGGACAACCAGGTCATGGTAACTGAAGAATTGCACAAGGCTAAGCAAACACTCTCACTAATTATTCAGTCTTGGCACCTGGATGACAGGTTTTTTCATGATGCTTATACACATAAACAAAAAAAAAAAATCTACTCAGTAACCTATAAGTTTTAAGATGTTTTCAGATTTAGGTCAGATTCAGCACAACTCAATTAGATTAAAAAAATATAAAATCTTAAACAGCCAATAAATACACACACAGTTTTCACTGAATACAGGCTAATAAAACAATCCAAAGAGATTAAAATCCTCCATAGGACCTCTACTTACCTTAATCCAAGAATATATTTTTTCCTCATAGTAACACTAAACAATTTAGATACCAGCAGTTGCATGGGGTAGGAAGGAAAGCATTTAGAAAGATCATAGAAATCAGTAACTGTGACTCTGATGTTACTGAGTCCTTCACACAGAGATCTGCAGGGGGTTCATTTGCCCCTCTTCTGCCCAAAGGCACAGCAGGGACACAGCTGCCTCCATGGTAACCACAGAGAAACCCCAGAGACATCACTCATACCCTCTTCTGCACAAAACATAATATTTTACCTTCAGGCACATCAGGAAACTTTTCTCACAATGCCGTTGTCTGCCCTCCCTAAATCAAACAATCCTTTCATGAATTTCAGTAAAAATGTTATTGGGGGGGGTGGGGTGGGAGGGGGGTGGAATTTTTATTGAATTGGCACAAACAGTAATTAACATGGCTTTGTTTTGGTTTTAAAGGTATTTATGAACACTCTGAAATATCTCCAGAGTAATGAATTTCTCTTGGATGTGGATTTGTGGAGACTTTTTGCAAACTTAGAGGAGTTAAATAAGGTGAGTAGAAAAAGTGAAGTGTTACTCAGATCAGAAATCAATCACCCCAGTAAATGAATGCAACAAACCAAAAGTTCTTATTTCGTTTCAATGCTCACATTTGGAACTTTGTTCAAATAATCCACCTTTTCCTCTTTTCTATGTGGTATATCAGTGAGAGTCAAATATCACCAGTGCAAATCATCCTCTTGTATCTCCAGCCAAAGAAACATGGCATTTTAAACATGGGGGAGAGCTCATTTGGTAGTGGTTTCTGAAGTAAACACAAGTTTGAGACTAATTCTCATAAGCAGCAACCTTTTAAAGGAGATGAAGATAAGCTACCCTATCTCTACACCAAAACAGAAAGCATGGCAAAATAACTACATAACAAGTCCCCTTTTGCAAGCAGATGGGCACAAAGATTTTGCTGTCTATTACGGCACTCCAAAAGAGCAAGTTAAAACAAAATGCTGACCCCTTCTCTCCAGCTGAGGTTTCCCTTGGCATGTGTGTGAGGATTTCTCCCACAGACTGGATGCTCTGTGTTCACATACTACTCACTCTGCACTGTCCAGAAGGAGGGAGGCCACAAGGCTTGGCTGTGATGTGCTCCAGCTCTTTGCTGCTTTTAGCCAGTTGCTGGGAGACCCATTTCAGCTCCTGAAAGTTAAAAATCCCTAAGTCAAAAATAGCCTTTACATTACTTTGGAAACAAAATAATTATTTTTTTTTTAGCTTGAGGGTCGTTTTATAGGACAACTCGCCTTTCATTGCAAAGTGAAATTTGGAAACACCTCTGCAGTTGCTTTAATTGATTAACTACTCACAATCACATCACATGCCCTAAATCAGCTGCTGGGGTTCATTTATTTCCCTTACTGTAATTCCCTTGCCCTAGTACTGAATCTCTCCCTTTTTAGCCAAAACAAGATAATTGGGAAAGGTCTTCACAGTAAGGACTATTAACCAGAACTCAAACACATGAGCAAGGCACTGCTGCTCAGTCATGGATCTCACACCTGGTGAGCTGCTGAATGACCAACCAGTAGGTTTGGAGATACAAGGAAAAAGACTTTTAGCTGACAGGTTTCACCTTTGGCTTATTTTGGATTAAGACTGTACATGTAGGAAACTACCAGAGCTCAGCAAATGTGTGGTTGTTGATTGCCTTGTTCTTGTTCAAAGAAGGGAGTGGGATATATTGCTTTGTTTCACTTAGCTTTGGGCTTGGCTGGAGCTTGGTCATGTCTTGAGAGAACTATCTTAAAAAAAGTTTAGCTTTAATTTCTGATTTTGTTGTCCTTATTGATGAGGATAATACATGATCATCTGTTATGCATACTTTAAATATTGATTAAATGTAGAAGAAAGAAGCTGCTCCCAATGCCTTTGGTGCCTTTTTTCATACATTTTGCAGTATGCATATCCTCTTGCCAGCAGGCTGAATCCATGAAAAAAATGTAAAATTGTAAAGGTCAAAATTAAAGAATGAGCATCATCCCATAAGCATCCTTGCCCCCATAAATACACCAAACAAAGCAGTCTGTAGCAGTATCACAGCAGATTGATGTGCCCTTCTGGCCTAACATTTGGTCAGCAGCTTAGCCCACTCATTAATTTGTGTGAAAATAGTGTGAATAGGGAAATTTGTGTGTTCAGGATGAAAGAGTGGGCTTAGGAGCAGGCTTGCAGCCCCAACTGACTGATAAGGTAGGGATTTTGAATCCAATATAAACATGTAAAGTTAACTTATGTGGAATATGTGAGTTTTGTAGTATTTTACAGATACTTCCTTTACCTTCAATAGTATGAAACAAACTCAAAATGAGTGAAATATGGTGTCTTCCTCACAGACCATGAAGGCTTCCTTAATTGCCACAGCCCTGTCATACACAACCATTGTTTTCCAGCAGATACCATTCACCCATTGTCATTTTTAATGTCGATCCATGTTAAATACAGCTGCTACCCTAAGAAAAGTTTAATGGACTAACTAATCTTGTTTCAAAGCTTTTCTCATCAGGCATTATCACAACATAAGTGGGTATTTGTATAGATTTGTCTTAGCTTCTGACTAATGAAAGCATTCTGGGCATAATTCTGAAGACAATTCTGGGAATGGTAGAGATAGGTATAGGCACCCATTACACTTGGAGCCTTTAGAGAGGCCAGGAATGGAAGAAAAAGCTGCTTGAATCTTAACTTTGGATCACTAATGCTAATTTATCTTTATTTTTTTCCCTCTTACTTAGATAAGTCTCAGTTTTCTGAAAATATTTTTTGAAACTGTGAAAAAGCACATCAGCAAGTCAGACTATCCTATGGATTTCAGCTCCATACTCAGAACGGTAACACAATTTAAAGTATTCTTGCTTTTAATACAAGCAGCAGACCATTTATCATGGCATACAGGTGCTCCAGAGCAACCAGGTCAGTCAAGTCCATGATATCTGTTATAGGCAGTTTGGTCTCAGCCTTAGGTTGTTCTTATCAGAAAAGTATCTTTATTTATATTCATTGGCATGTTTGAAGCAGTCATGGAAAGGTGCCCAGTATGCGGAATCAAGTGTGCAAAGATTTTCCCTCCCTGAGGAACAGCAGCCCAGACTCTGAGGAGACTTTTCCACTGGCAGAGGCAAGCTTCCCACTCTATGAAAGATGTTTCCCTGAAACCAGGCCACAGCCCCATCACTGCCTCCTTCCACTCCTTCACACAATAAGAGCTCATTGACACTGAAATTACACTTTGGCTTGTGTCTGTTAAGCAAGAGAGAGATGCAGCCACAGCTGTCCTACCACTGCCATGCCCTGCCTACCCTGCAACCCTTTTGGTCAGTCTGTGTGGTAAACAAGGCAGTTGTCTGAATAGCAGTGTACAGGAGCTCTAATTCCTGCTCAACTTCCCAGTGCCTATAAAGTTGGAAATATTAATGAAGATAGAAAATCAATTGATTGACCGGAACCTTCCCTAGCAGTAGAGGCCACTAGAAAACTTCTGGGAAAGACTAGAAGACTCTACCTCAGTGTTAAGATTTTTCACAGAGAAATTCAGGCTAGAGCTTGGTTTCTTGTCCCTGTGACCTCTGACTTCAGGCATTCTTATTGATAATACTTGTGTAGACAGACAAAATCCCAGACAAAGCTGCATTTTATCACATATGACATTTAACATCTCCAGTGTAAATGAGGCTATGATGTTATTTCTAAGAGCATACTCAGCTATAAGAGACCATGCTACATGAAGTCATCAAAGCTGTTTCAGAAATAGTGAGTTTCATCTTCAACTTCTGTATGTATTTCACATCATTTATTTCTAATGAGAACAAAGTCTAAGACTGTGTCACACCTCTGCAGATCTGTTAAAACTCTACTCCCATGCATTACTGAAGCATTGTTGTATTTTTACTACTTTACAATTCTATTGCTGTTTAAACTGCCCTTTACTTTTTTAATTCCCTCTTTCCCTATTTTCCTAGGTACAAGGAAATCCCATATAAAATATGCATTACAAACCCAAACCCCTGTTTCTCTGTCATAATATTTTTCTTTCTTGAAAAATTTCCAAACCTTTTCTGCAGTTTTTCCAGCGTGACCTCTGCCAGACACATCAGATTTATTGCCTTAATTATACCTCTGCCATCTTCTACTTGGAAAAACTGAGACAGAGAGAAGATTTTGGCATCTACCTGAAGGTAAAGTGATGTTATTGCTCTTCTTATTGTGGTTGTCTTCAGTCTTCCTACCTTATGATAGGATTTTAACAGCAAACTAGGGATGTTCATTAGAAGCAAAACTGTGTAGACAGCATTTCACATGGATTTTTTGAACTGCAGAGCCTATCAGCAATGGGAAGTCACCCTTCTGAATGTATGTTCACCTGCATGTGTGGAAGTCCCTGCTTGTAATTTAGAACAGATAAAGGGGAGAAGAGCTGGGCTGCCTTTCTGCAGGCAGAAAATACAAACTACTAGCCTCTTTCACATGTTTTGCGCATAATCTCTTGACTCGGTGACCTCCACCTTAACAAAGTGAAATAGTTACAGGGAAAAAAAAAAACCACAAAAATAAATTTGAAATGTTTTACTTAGGCATCAAAACACTACCAGTAAGGGAGAATTTACCTCCCTCTAAGTCTGGAAAGAGCAATCAGTGGACTCTTTATCAAGTTGCAGTACTACAGCAGATTTTGTCTTCGCTGACACCAGCCAGTGTGGTGGTGTGGATCTCAGGCTCTGCTCTTTCTGATATCACTAGCTAATCAGTGTGTCCTGTACTTAAGATTAATCTTAAACATTACAGGTTTAGGAAGAGAAACCTGAAGTAGTAGGCTTTGCTCACAGCTAGCCCAAAATTGGAAGGACATCTTTTTATGGCAAGCAAGCTCTGCAGCTTGGGCCTTAGAGTTTCACATTACTTGAAGATTTCATACATCCACACCTAGGAAAAATGTTCCCCAGTGGCAAGTAGCAGTGACCCAAAAATATAAGGTGCCTTACAAACCTAACTCAGGTTAATTTTCTCTGGGCTTCCTGATAAAACCAAAACAGCAGCTAAATAAGAGCCCTACTTGATATGACAGCATGACCACAGTATCTGGAATGGTAAGCAGCAATGCAGAAACTGAATCTGGAGGGGCAATTCCCTCTGTAGAGAGCTGTTCCTGGCTTGGCTGGGATAGTAGCTGGTGTAGTGCTGTGGTTTGCATTTAAGACAAGAGTAATCTTGATATCACACTGATGTTTGCTTGTTGCTACAAGGTTTGCATTAAGGCAAAGACTCTTCTGTCTCTTTCCACCACCAGTGAGGAGTCTGGTGGGCACAAGAAGTTGGGAGGGGACACAGCCACAACAGGTGACCCAAACTGACCCAGGGGGTATTCCACACCATATGGTGTCATCCTCAGTATATGAACTAGAGGGAAAGCTGTCTGGAGGGACCTCTGCTCTGGGACTGGCTAGGCATGGACAAGTGGGTGGTGAGCATTGTGCACCACTTGTTTTGTATATTCCATTATTTTTTCCATTCTGTTTCTATTCTATTAAACTGCCTTTATCTCAAACTACAAACTTCTTATTTCCCATTTCTCTTCCCCATCCCACAGGAGGGATTGAAGAGCGAATGAGTGGCTGTGTGGTTTAGATACTTGCTGGGTTAAACTATGACAAGAAACTTTATACTGCCCTTGTTCTCACTGAGTGAGACACTCATCTTTCATTAGTCCCCGTCTTGTTACAGTCAGCTAATGATGCAGAAAACTGTTTGCTACCTCCTAGCCAGGCGGAAGCTGAAGCCTAAGGCACATTTTCTTTGTCTTCATCAGTGGTGTGAACAAAATGAACAGTGCAAAAGGTTGCATCTGCCAGAGCTGCTGGTTGCTCCTCTACATCGACTGACGCGGTATCCCCTCCTCCTCAACAACATCTGGAAGAGGAGCACTGACGAAACAGAGAAAAGTTTTATCCAGTCACTTAAAGAGAAGGTGGAAAAGTCTATAAGTAAGTAACAAAGGTTAAAAGTCAAGTATGCAGTTACAAATTAGAAAGCTATGTGGCTTTTTTGTGCATGTCCTTTTAAGTGTGAATTAGTCAAGTGTCTCTGCAGAAAAGCAACAAGGATGTGTGTGCCTTCCTACAATCCTGACCTTCATTCTGTAGGGAATTATTTGGGCCACCTTGTGCTGTCAAAGCCTCTCTGAGCAATGTCACAGGACTCCCAAATCAGTGAGTCACTTGTATTTTCTTAGAATCATCTGCAGTGACAGGCAAAAAATTAAAAGCAGATCTCAAATTGGACCATATCAAGAAAGATCTCAAACAAAGAAGTCTTTCAGTTGGATTTATGTCTAAGGAGGATTTTTTTAGGGCTGATCCTTAATAGGATAAATTTGCACTCACAAGGGGAATATTATGTCCTTGACCTTTCACTAATGCCAGAGTCCTACTATGTAAAGTTATCTCAGCTACAGATTTTCTCTGGCTATCACAAAAAACAAATGGCTGGTCCAGATATTAATTTTTCCCTGATTTTTTAAATATATAATATTTATATGTTTAACATATATAATGACAGCAATTTTAGGTGTGGCCCCAAAAGACCATGGGATATGTTTGGACAGTATTACTGGCAGAATATATAGGTCCTTCCAGAAATTAGACACCTCTAGATGAAGCAAACCAAAGATAGAAGGGTGACCCCTCTTGACTCACAGACATTGACAAAGATGTGCCTTAATTTTTTGATCAATGAACCAGTAACACAAGGAATAGTTCTAGTCTAAGCACTCCCCTTCTGGTGGGGAGGTTTGTGTCTGAAACCATTATCTGCAATATCACTCCATCCAAAGGCTTGAAAATTCAGTTGCAGAGCCATTAAAGCTTTCCCCATAATGGCCTTGAATCAGCAAAGATACAGTCCCCATTTTTCACACTTTGAGTGACCCCTTACCTCAGCCACTTCTGGCAACACTTCCTCAGAAATTAATTCTCATTAATTTCAACAGTCTTTTTATCAGGCTGTACATAATGAAAATTATTTTTCTCTCACCATACCAGACAGTTTAGAATGGCAGGACTTTTTTTGAAGACATTTTGAAGATTACAGTTTAATTGAGTTTTATATGATTTCCTGTTCCCCAGAGAGATTAGTAAACACAATCTTTTCATTTAGCAGTGAATTTAAGCATCTTTGAATGCATTAATTGAAATTCTGTTCCTGCTGATCTAAGTAGAGTTTAGACAGTTTTTACAATAAGATCATGGGGTCTCACATGTGAGGTACTTCAGCTTTCACTGGAGAAAAATCAGTATTCAGCATCTTCTAGAGACAGGACTGCTTTTGCCAGCCCTGGCAGTAACTGGTGTTTCACACATTTCAGGGGATCTGGAAGGGAAAGTCAAGTGGTTGGACAACTTTCAGAAGTTCAGGCAGCTGCAAGAGGTCATAATTTGGCCTCAGGTCTGGGATCGTGACAAAAGGTTCTTTGTCCCAGAGGTAAGTAGATTTTAAAGGACTTTTTTTTTCTCTAGAGGAGAATTTATTTTCCTGTCTTCATAGTGTGGTCTAAAGTTGGCTGGTTGTCTGTATTCTAGTCAGTGGGGATGGCTCTGCTCCAACAGGACCCAAGCGCTGCAAGTAGCTGAACACACACACTGCCTTGGATGGCAGCATGGGTTGCTCTCAGAGTCCAAGAGAAGGCAATGATACAGTCCAGGAGGATTCTACCATATTTGCCTTTAGGGGACAGAAGGAAATGGGATAGATGTATTACCAGCATTCAATAAAGTAGAAATTATTTGCCTCTTTCATTTCTCAAGCTGAGCCAAAGAACTTCCCATTTACACTTAAATTGCATTACAAAAAATTACACAGCGTACCTGGGTGTGCACATTTTTGCCTTAGCTACCCCGTTAGCCAGACAGACTTTAGGCAGCACTATGGTAACATCATCAAGTGGGTCTCATCTCAAGGATTATGTCTGTTCACATAAAAACAGGGCTGTAAACACTATTAAACTGAATTTGGAAAAGTAAAACCCAGCTTAACTTTGCAAAAGCATAAACACATTTAAGCAATAGCACTGCTGAAGAAACACAGGCATGCTCAGTTATCAGCTGACGCACAGTTACAGTGTAATGTACTTAGCCTGAGGTAAGAGCACACAGATGCTTTTTTTTAGCTGCTAGTTGCTTCCTAGTTCATCATCCATTATACATGATTCTCCCATTCTCTCTTTTTTTTGGGTCAAGTGTTTGAAGCAGAACTTAAAAGAAAACAGCACTGAAAACATTTTGTCTTCAGCGAACAGACTTCTCCTTCATGAAGGGAAGCTGATGCTAGCAGGTAGTCTCTGAATCTCCTGGTGTCCAGAGATAGCTTAACAGAATTATACATTGTTATGATAGGTCCAGAATGAACCTCTGCAACAGCATTTGGGCAGGTGCAGGAAAGAAAAAGCAACTGCACAGTTTATCAGAGAGAGACTGAGATACAGCCAAGCTGCCAATAGGATGATAGTCTGTATGGTTGTTTATTGTCCTTTTTCCTGGCAAGCAAGTAGTTGTTATATCAGAATGAGGTAGCTGCTACAAGGTACAAATTTAGTAGCCAAAATGACTGAAAATATTATTTAGCGCATTTGAGAATGAAGACTGGAGGACGAGTAGCTGTGAACTATACCGGAGACAAGGCTGCTTTGTTAAAAGCATTCTGTAAGGTGCAGTGATTCATAGATGTGCCTCATCTTAGTAGTAGCAATTCCTTAAAATAATCACACCATAAAACTGATTTTTTGTTTTCCTTCTCAGAAAGCACAAGACTCCTTGATGTCTACCTCTTTTTATTTGATGATTTCCTACTAATTACCAAAATTAAACGTAACAAAAAGGTAAATAATGTCTAGAGATACACATGGTTGCAGTTGTTACATTTTTTTAACTTTTGAATGGCTTTTGAGTATACTTTGGAAGATTGATCTAATGACAAAAATACAAGATGACTAATCAGCATGAAGAAGAGCTAATACTTCCTTACGTGACTAGCAAACCATAACACTGATTCAAAAGCCTGTTTATAGGCTTAGTATGGTACAGGAACACTATTACTGGCAGAATTTACATTAAAAGACCTTAATATCTTCCTAATGTTGTTCTGATGTGCTGGACTCCTAAAGCTCAGAAAAGTTTCAGGAATATAAGACTTTTTCTAACGGTCCCTGCAACCTCAGAATTTTTTATCACAAATATATCAGAACTGCTGGAAAGAAATAAAAATCAAAAAGAAAAAAAACAGAGAAAGGTTAAAATTATTCAAGATTGGCTATACTGCTTGTTGTCCTCTTTGTCTTGATTTCCCCAAGTTTAAAAATGAGATATAATGACTCCTCTTAAGAAAATGTTTCTTGATGAATGATTCTATAGAGTGCTATAGATGATAAATACCTGTAATTAGACACCAACAGAAGAACTGGATGACCTGAAATTCCTAGAGTTTCAGAGTAGGAGTGCATTTAGCTAATTAAGTTTATGAAACTGATGTAAACTGAGTCTAAATGAACCTGTGGTAATCTCTGGGTTTTGGGCATTTTTTTAAGAAGCAGGTGTTCTGCTTTAGGGAGAAAGGAGATAGAGAAAGCATACAGTGAAAGGCTTTAGACTCGCAGCACCATCCCTTAGCAACAGGGCTGGTAAAGGAAGCAGAAATTCAAGGGACCTGGTACCCTTAGGCAAATCTTTTTGGGGGTTGTCCCATGGACATGTGTTGGTGAACCTCCTGTGAAGGGTTGCTACTCATCTGGAGCTCCAGGAATTCTGTCTTGTGCATATGCAGGAGGAGAGATAAGGAAACTTACCCCCAAGGAAAGGAGAAAAGAATCCTGCAATTAAAATAAGGAGGGAAAGCGGGGAAATACTTTTGTGATGCTTATGACTGTCTTCTGCTTGTGGACTTGTAAAGTGTTTCTTTTGTAGCTTTTTAATGCTAAGTGTGACACTGCAGGAGATCTCCAGGTACCAGTCAGTTTTTCTAAGATTCCTCAGGCAACTAAGTTGTCTGTCTATCTTTGATAAGAGAATGCACATAATCTGGAGTTGTTTAGTGCCTATACTTCATAAGCAGATGGCAGACAACCTGCTAACCAACTTAATTTTCTATTCCCAGAAATATGGAGGCTCAGACACCAATTTAATCCCCGTCTGTCCTTCCCTCACTCCCGAGCTGCAGTCCTTCATAAGAGAGGGGGGATTTTGCACAGTCCTAGACCAGCCCATCCCACTAGACAGACTCATACTGAAAAATGTTGAACCCATCCAGTTTACAGGTATGTGTCTGCAAGCACTCAAATGCCTTCATAAACACCATGTCGATGAACTGTATGTGTGGTAGCATAAGGACAAGCTGCTGTTTGCCCACAAAGCACGTGGTTTGCACCTCCAGATGCCTGGAGTGCAAACACTGGTGCCTCAGCACTGCCTGGCTTCACAGCTCTGCTCCTGCTGGGAGGCATGAACTGCTGCCTCAGACTTCACAGCCAGCAGTGACTCACACACACACCAGTGACTGTCACATACTATCCATTCTCCTCAAAGGAGGTATCAAGGCTCCAACGACTTCTTTCTCACAAGCCAAGTGTTCTCTTGTCCTAACATGCTCTCTCAAACCCCAGGCATCTTTCAGTTCACCCCAAGAACATTTTCAGTTCCATACTAGATATACAGCATTTTTTCAGCTGCACTACTACATTGTTCTCTTGGGTGTCTTCCCACATACACAGCAGCTATTCTCAAGGAGGCTGGAGAGGAGATTTACATTCTGCTATTGCTCCTACTCACATCTCCACCAGCTGTTGAGAGGATGGACATCACCCAGCACACATCAATGTATCAATAATCCCCACTCTCAGACACCCAAGCGCATCACTGGGGAATACACCTCCTATCCCTGCTGCTGTCCAGCTGGGTGTGGAGTGAAGGAGGGCTGACTGCCACAGAAAGTGACCAGCCTTACCCTGCCAAAACAAGGTTCCTAAAGTCACCAAGATCAGATTTTGGGCTGGGGAAAGGCATGCACTATCAGGACTCCCCTTGGTCTGAGAGCAGCAGGCTCTCACATACCTCACCTTGGTGGTGAGTAGTGCCACATCCAGTTGGTGGCCAGTCACTAGTGATGCTCCCCAGGACCCAGTATTGGTGCTCTCGTTTAACACCTTTACAAAAGACCCTACTAGGGAAGATCTGTACTTGGCACTGGTGAGACCACACCTCAAATTCTGTCCAGTTTCAGGCCACTCTCTACAAAAAGTACATTGAAAATCTAGAGTGTGTCCAGAGAGGAGCAGTGAAGCTTGGGAAGGGTCTCAAGAATAAGTTCTAAAAGGAGTGGCTGAGAGACCTGGGGATGTTTAGCCTGGAGAAAAGGGGTGACATCATCACTCCCTACAACCACCTGAAACGAGGCTGTAGTCAGGTGGGAGACGGTCTCTAGTCCCAGGCAAACAGCGATGGCACAAAAGGAAATGGCCCTAAGCTGCACCAGGAGAGGTTCAGGTTGGACACCAGAATATTTTCACAGAAAGGAAGATTAAGGATTGGAACAGGCTGCTCAGGGAGGTGGTGGAGTCATCACCCCTGGAAGTGTTCAAGAAATGACTGGAGGTGGCAATCAGTGCTGTGGTCTAGCTGACATGGTGGTGCTCAGTCAAAGGTTGGACTCAATGATTTTGGAGGTCTTTTCCAGCCTTAAGGATTCATTGATCACTGCCAAGATCACAGGAGCCTCCTATATCAAAGAGAATGAAAAGAAATAGAACTACAAATTTCTGGGCTCCAGGGTCATCCTAATCCTAAAGACTGAGAGAAAAAGCTTAGGGAGCTACAGTGCTCTGTGAGAAAGCAATAGATAAGGAAAATAAATCTAGAATCTGTAAATTTTACGATAACTTTGAAATACATTCACCCAGACTATTTAGCATTCAGCATCAATGCTGAGAAGATATAAAGGTAGGCAATAAACGGCAAATTACTAAAGACAAGATAAGGGGAAGAATACAAAGAATAACCTTTTTTCAAAACATGTTCCAGGCACTATCTGCCTGCCTAATTAGTTCCCCTACCAAACCAGCAGAAATGGAGCAAATGTATCAGCCACCTCTTGCCTGCAGGGTGGAGGGGAGGGCAGCCCCACATCCCATGTAAGCCCAGGCTGAATGAAAGGACAACTGCTCCTGGGTGCTGGAGAAGGCAGTGCACCCACCCTCCAGGTTGCACCTAATAGATTGGCCATAAAAATAATAATAGAGGGGAAATAATGCTTTTGGATTTTTTTCCCCAAACCAGCATTTCCTATAGAGATTCCTAACCACAGTCTTTCTGTCTCTGTGATCCAGCTGCAACCATCAGAATAGAAAAAGCTGCCTTCTGCATTCCAGCCGAGGCTCTGTCCACTGGTTATGACCCTTCCCTGCACCCTCGGCCTCACTGCTTGACTTCTCTCCCAGCTTTATTACACCTGTAGCCATGGTAGTCTCTGATACTCACTTGTAGTCTCGTAACACTTTGGAAGCCCCATCCTAAGACAGGACCCCTTGGGGTGAGGTACAATAAAAATAGTGAGAAAAATTACTATAGGGAGATTGCAGTTCAGATTCTTACCATTCTGTGTAAAACAACAAGCCAACATTCCAATGTCAACAGAAAATGTGCCTTTGCAGGAGAAGGAAAAATATTTAATATTGTCTGGAATGTGTGACCTTGGGGAATGTTGCCAATCTATCTGCACTCTCAAAGAGACTTTTATTACTGGTGGCACTAAAAGATTAGTTAGCATGTTCTCAGAAAGGTCATGTGATCTATCACAGTAATCAAAAACTAAATCCTGATTTTTTGATCTAGCAAGTACTTTTGCTTCTGTTAGTTTGCTGAGAGTTGACATCACTTTGAAAATAAACAAAGTTCAATGCAGATACTAGAAAAAAATATATGTTGTAGTATCCTAGAAATACCCTTTTGGCAGCAGGCAGGAGGCTAATAATTATGTAGGATAATTCTTGTCCAAAGCCTTTTATGCACTAGTGAAGGGATAGAAGATAAATAGGTGTGTTCATAACACCAGGAAGGTACCCTAAAAGCAGAACTATCTGCAAACATGAGATGCAACTTTATGTGTAAATACAATAGTAGGAAGCCAGTTCTGAAGGTTGTAAGCAGCAACATACTTTCTGATTAGAAAATCACTAGCCAACTTAAGCTCCCCCTTTATTCCAGATGTGTGACATTGGTGTCACTTTGTCTCCTTGCAGAGAAATGCACTACATGATGCCCACAGTCACCTTCAGGAACAAAAGTCTGGCAGTCTGGCAACATGTCCGGCTGCTGGCAGCTAACCAGAGCATCCCCAGGAGCACCAACTCAGGCACATGCCCAGGGAGAACCCAAAGCCAGCACTAGCCTGAGTGCAGCCACTTTCCCATGTGCCAGCCATCATACAGACTTAAATAAAATGGGACCTCTCTTTTTAATTTTTGATATTTTTCTCTAACTTCAGTTATTATTCAGGCCACTTTGAAGGGAAATATTTCTTAATGATCCTCAGGTAGACTCAAAAGCATCTTAGCTGCACCATGATGAAGCAATTAAAAATAAAACAAATGCAAGTAGAACTAACATTTTGAAATAAGAAAGCTTCCTACACAAAAAAATTACCTCGCCCTATGAGGGTGCAATTGCCCTTTTAGAAATCTGAAAATATGCTTACATATATAATTTCTTTGATCATAATCAATGTGATATAAAATTGGACTGTCAGTTGTATGAGGTGCATTTATATCACTTCTTTACATTTTCCACAGTCTTCAGCCTGCGAAATGCTTTTCTAATTCAGCATGAGAACAGGTATCAGCAGTGCATTGCAGTCTTCTTGCTACAAGCTCAGACAGAGACTGCCAAGGTAGGTAACATCTTTTTTTTTTCCTCTCTAATTACACAACTATTCTTTCCATAAAGGAGATTGGCAGCCTAAAAGTGGTCATGCTGTGATAAGAATCTCTTACAGTTGTGACGCTTGACCAAAACAAAACAAAATAACACCCCAGTGCTCTGGCTCACGTATTTGTTAGAGAATTTTTGCTGCTGAACATGTTCCAGTTTTTTATCAGGGTTGATAGCAGGCCATATTCTTGTTGAAAAACATTATCAATTCTGATTGCTAAAAAAAATATCCATTTCCTGTGTAACAGAAGATGGTCAGCCCCTCCAGAGAAGTCAACACAACAACCCCCTCTACACCCAACTCACATGCAGAAGTATTCAGATCAGAAAGCTGTCTTGTGCTCATCTATTCACAACATGCATTTTGCAATTTCAGACTGAACAGATGGCATGATTAATTCCACTGTTATATAAATTTACCCCTCATTTTCACACTATGCCACATTTCTAGTAACAGCACTGTGTATAACATCTGAAAGTGTGTCAGGCACTTCACAGGATTTTGCTTTCTCATGTATGTTGAATTTCCCTCTCCAATACCTAATGCACAGAAATTTGACCACCACTAATACTAATTTTGACAAGTAAATGGTGGCAGATCTGTTCTAAGAGAAGCACTGAGTGAATTCTTTGAATTTTCAAGTCCCTGGCTAGTACTTGGATTAGCTGTCCACTCAAAAAGTCGTTATTTTCTCCTATTACTGAAATGTGACCTTCCTTTTCCAAAACTTCCTTCATACCAGGGCTATCATCTTCTCAATGTCATGGAATCATAGTTCAGGTTGAAAGGGCCCTTTAAAGGTTTTAATCCAAAGGATAAATCCTCTTAGGGTTAGTCCAATGTCTGATTGTAAAAATTCAGAGACAGCTCAACTTCTGTGACCAGACTATCTGGACTGGTAGAGAGAAGGAAGTTATATGTTTGAAATTATCTCTCCATCACTCCCTGACCTCATACCTGGATGACAGCAAACATAGACCTGAATGCTGTCAGCATGGTAACAGAAACTGAAATTCAGTTGGCAGCACACGGCAGATCTTGGAGGGGAACAGAACTTGTGATGCTGATAGGGCTGGAGCTGTCTTAATCACAAAAATGAGGAACCCAAACCACAGGGACAGCATTAAGCTAAGGAATAAACATCACACAGAAAGGGTGAAATAGCCTGCCACAAACTTCACCATTACAAACAGAGCATTAAAATCATACCTTCCAACCAAAAATGGAAACATTCACTGGAAATCCCTGGCCTCAGACACAGATTCCAGCAGCATGTAGTGGCCTGAACAAGTAGGAGAGTGTCAGTTGTGGGATAATTCATATTTCCTTCAGCAGTTATGAGCACAAGCCTGAAGAGAGGCTAAATAAAACTAAAGGCTCTGGATGTTTATGTATCTAACTTACTGGAAATTTTTTAGGTTGTCTTGGTTTACAAATATTTTTCTTATTACAGAAAACATGGATGTCACAGATAGAAACGGCAATCTCCAATTATACCACACAACATGAAACCAAGAAAAGCACTGCTTTCTGCTTCCCTGTTGAATCATCTGAAATTTAATAATGTCAGCATTACACTGACAGAGCCAGTGGAAGACTATTGTGGTGATAATATAGTTATTTCATAATATAAATATAATGCCTTAGGTCTCTGAAGCTAACAGATTTCTGACTTGACAAAAATATGGCACATAGACCACACGTGTAGGAATAAATTGGAGGAGGGCAATGAGCCATGCAACAAATATATCACTCCTAGATGCTCCTTTGCTTCACCTAGGGAAGGGTCTTGCCATCCAGGGAAGCTTTAATAGAGCTTGTCATTTCCTAGAAAGCATGACAGGGAAAAAACCTGTTGGTAAGGACAACTCATTCACCAGAGAAGTTTAGAAGGGTTATTGCATCATTCAAACTGTATTAACAAATTTCATTAAATTAGAATTGTGTAGCCATAGCTTCTGATATTTATGTGTCTCTACCCACTAACCTATAATATCCCAAGATGGTTTTTGCATTAATACTGAGCATGTGTCTATTTATGTATACATATGTGTGCACTTACCTGGTCCAGTGCTCTCCAGATACAGCCTGGCCACTGTGATACACAAATTCCTGCTCTTTCCCTGTGTCTACCATGGGCAGGTTTTTCCTTCCTGGGAAAGGAACAGCTATCAGGCTCCATGCCAAGCGGTGAATGTGTGAAGCAGGAGGGTAGAACAGTGTACAGACAGATCTGCACCAGGGTGTCACACAAGCTGCCAATGCCTTGGCACAACTTGGCTGGCACAGCTGTGCTCCATCTCCCCAGTCCCATGCTCAGCTGCATCACACCGAGGGCTCACCAGACCCTCACAGCATCCTGAAACCAGTGCCGACAGGACAAAGCTATTTCAAGCCTAAAGGAGTCACACCTGACAGACTAAGGTGTGTGCTTTGTGTGCTGGCAGACAGGAGAGGATATTTCACTTTGCATTACTTTTTAACAAACAACCTTTAGCCAGGTCTACTCACTTTACCAGACAAGCAGTCATTCCTGACCAGCATGTCTCTAAGGCGGACAGCCCAGGGGAAGGAAGTGTTTACACACAGGCTTGTCTTCATGGAGATGCAAGCTCAGTAGGCTCTTCTGTGGTGTCAAAAGCACAATACCTTAGGAGGCAGCTGAAGCAGAAATTGACTTCCCAATTCAAACTGCCTTTCAGAGGAGAGCTCTCTTCTCCATCTTTCTCCATATCTACACAGAGCCCCTGCTTCAGGAGCTAAACATAGGTTGCTTGGCTGTGCCTCCATAATTCAATAGTGGCTTTGTCACAGGACTGATCTCCCATATTAACCATCTGGCTTCGCTCTGCAACACAGTTCCACCCTGAAAGAGCTTTCCATTTCACAAGTGAGACCTTTATTGGTCTAAAAAATAAAACAAGTGCTACTTTTTGAGTCTTCCAGTTATGCCAATTGTCCAGCTGCATTGAATGTTATGTCAGAACACAGCCAATGACAGAAGGACTTTCATCACATAAGAAACCCGGCAGCCTTGCACAGCTATTGGGAATGAAAAGACTACTCTGAATTTAACCTGTGAAAAAAACAGATTTGAAAAACAGCCATTATTACTGTGTCCTCAGGACTGTGAGAGCCTTTGTTGCAGCTCCCTACAACTCTAAGAAACTGGAACATTTAGCTTGCTCTTACATGTGTGTAAGAACAGTTCACCTACATTTGAAAAATGATACATCCACCATTTCAAAGTAGCTTTTCTGTCTGAAACAGGGCAAGGTAGCTTTGAATTATATAACTTGGTCTATTAGAAGGGTCTAATTTTTTTATTATTATTAATAGTCATTCCTTTAACATTATTAGAAAACAAAAATGAAATTTCAGCAACAATTCATCATAGTTTATACAGAACCCATTGATGCATGGTGTCACCTTCCCATTCGAATCCACAGCCACCTTCCAGATTACAGAGTTTAAGAATTACAGTGCACACTGGACTAAATTCTTTCACAATGTAAGGCACAACTACATGATCACAAGTAGTAAACACAAACACTGAAAGTAGAACTTAAGAGAATAAAACTTCAATTAAAAAGAAATAAAACCAAAACAGACTCATGCAAAAAAATCTATTTACACCTACCAAGATGGTATGATCCAGTTTAGAAATACAGTACTCTGTAAGCAAAACTGCAACATAAGTCTTTTATAATACATTACTTCTAAATACCAAGTAAAAACTTATATTTTTTTCCATTTATATTTTATACAATTATACAGAAATTAAGCTGTATGAACAATATTCACAACTGCAATAATAAACTGATCATTAAAAGTCAGAAAATAGGCAAATGAGACCATATAATTTGTGGCACGCATCCATTACAGAACACCCATTCATCAAGTTCACATCTCGAGTACTGAAGAAAAAAATCACGACCAAGTGAATGGTACATTTGGTGACTGAGGCTATCTGTAACCAAACAACAAAGCTCCATACAAAATTGGTTTTACCCAGCAGACTTTAATTATGAAAGCTTGTGGTTATAATTTATTTCCTGTCCAGCAGCTAGAGTTTGCAAGGTTGAAACTACAGAAGGTAGAAGAATTTAACAGAATTCACAATAACTTGAAACTGTTGGATTATTTCAAATACACATTTAAAAAAACCAACTTAACTTTTTCCTTTTTGGAGATAAACTTTTGCAATTTTGGCACTCACTATAACTTTTACGTAACAAGACTGTGAGAAAACTTTATTAAACTTACCTAATATTTGAATTTCACATTGAGAGGTAGCTTTAACTAAATCTTACATAATGGGATCAAATGAGGGGGTGAGGAATGTGACTTTTTTTTTTTGTGACTTTTTTTCTTTTCTTACAAAAGTGACTATTTCTATACAAGCAGCATTTTGGACATATTACTATAAAAAGTTCTGGTATTTGCTAACCCAGCAAGACATTCTTTCAAACATCCCTTTTATGCCAGGAATCAAGCTCCAGCATGATAAAATGGAGGACTTTGCCACACAGCCAAGAGCAGTAGCCTGGACCTGCCAGCACTGACCTGTTGACATATAACAATGAACATCCTTTCCCAGCCCTCTTTACCCAAAAAAAAAAAAAAAAGAAAAAAAGAAAAAAAAAAAAGAATGACAGAATGACATACAGACAATTTTGGTTTTAGTGTTTTTCAGTCACAGGGGAAAGGAAAATTGGAAAATGTACCTTTCCAGGCTCCTGCTTTCATACAACATTGATCTAAAGGGGTAGCAGGGCTTCATCAATCTTTAAATGCACAGACACTTCTCTGTCCGCTGCACAGTGAATGCGTAGTATGGAGAGCTACAGACAACAGGCAGTTTATTACATTACCTAGTATCTACACTCTTCATTATTGGGAACTTAAGGGGTATCTAATATTCTCTCTAAACATGCAAACTTTTTTATTCAGTGTCCATTTAAAAAGAAACAGAAAAAAATGCCACAAAAACCGAATTTCCACAGCAGGACTTACATGCAATTATAGCTGGTTTTGAAAAGTACATCAAATAGTCCTTTTGGAGAGGCAACATTTGAATAATAGTTTTAAACTCATTCTAAAATGGATGCTGAGGTCAAGACTTAAAAACCAAAGAAATGGACAACTGGCAAAATCCTTGCAAATACCTAAAATTCTTTTTTTCCCCCTCACTTTATAATCTTAAAATTAAGTTCTACAAAGACACGTGTGTGACTAACAAGGTTTTTGTTATATGTGCTCTCAGATGATGATTGGGTTTTTGGTAAAAGGAACTGTGAGTGCAGTTGTCCTTTGGGCCAAATTTATACAGTGAAAAATCCAGCTGATTATAAATCCAGCTGATTATAAACCTGCTGACTACAGCTAACACATGCAATGCACATGATGCCATTCCACTTACTATAGATTCTCTTAGACAGCAAAAAGTGCACAGTGCAAATGACAGTGTTGTTTCCTAGTTCTCTGAGAATACGAGAGGAGGAGAGGTGGTACCTGGAAGAGTAATTTATCAGTTTCTACATGCTCAAACCGTGATATCATTCCTCTTGGCACAGTTTAGATTCTATTTGAATTTCAGCTCCAGCATTTTTCTGTCCATCACTGAGTACTGGCCATAAATTTTTTTAAGTTTTGCAACAAGCATTTATTTCCACTCCATGGTTGACACTTAACAATCCAGAAAAGCAGTTGAGTTTTCCAGGTTCCTTTATGAATGTCACTTCTCTTACATCTAGCATGAGAAGCTCAATTGTTCTGGCTCATGTAATACAAACACAGAGAGGTTACTTCACGCTTCTGCTCCCAAATCCCTTCTTGCTTCACTAATAAGAAAGCTTTTCCAGTGAGGATTCACAAACAACCCTAATGGAACCAAAGCCAACAAAAGTTCTCATTGTTCTTGTGTACCTTGTGCTCCACAATCCATGGCAACTTGGTTACTTAAAACCTTCCAAAAACAGAGGCAAAACTCCACATTTCACCCTACAGTCTTAGACTCTTGTGCCAGAGAGCGAAGCCAGCTGAAAAATGAGATCCCTCTAAACCTCTTGCCTCTGTTGGAAGCTGCAGCAGAAAATTCCTTTTGTCTCTTCATCTCCAGACAGCAGCTTTTCCTACTGTGACTCATTACTTTTATCCTCTTCATTCAACCTTTGCAGAAGGGGGAAGATTACATTAGGGAGTACATGGGGAGAAGAAATAAATAACAGTGAAGCAGAGCCAGCTAAGATCAAAAGCCTGCCACTGACCTCTGCAACACTACCTGTCTCCAGTATTATGTACTGCTGACATGAGGCCAGAGTGGAACAGCAGGTTTTGGCATTTGTGGGGCAAAAATGCAAGGAACTGTGGGTCTTTGACTGGGAAGAGAGGTGTTGTCTCCAGGAAGTTACAAGAACCTCTCCCCATCCTTAGTAAGACCATCCTTTACACATTTACCAAAGGTTCTGTAGCTTATCTCTGCCCATGGAGCAGCTGGTATCTCACAATCTGCTCTTGTAGCAATTCTGAATGTGGATGGAGTATCCAGCAGATGGGACAGTTTCAAGAAGAAAGCCCACATTTCACTGTCCCATTCCTGATGCTATAGTAATGACTAGTAACCAAAAGCTGCTTGAGGATCCCACAAACCTACTGGTTTGAGAGCTGGTTTTGCCATCATGTTCACATCTTCCTCTATAATGGCCTCCTCACTGAATTAGAGCAATCTGCCTATTGCTAGAAGCTGTAAAAACGCGTAACTATGCATCCTCCAGTTCCAAGACTCAGTCTTTTCTGCCATTTTATTAGTTTTCCCCTCTGTTCCTATGTCTGAAGTCTGAAAAATCACTGAATTAAACTGTTTTGCCTGGATTCCTTTATTTTACTGTGGTAAAAGTCACCAGGCTTTTTACTTGGTTTTCCAGTTACTTAGATTTTAAGGCTGTGGAACAAAAAGCCCACATTCATACTGAAACATGCCCATCAAAACACTCAGACTCTGCAAGCATATTTGTAAATACACAGCTTTTCACCTTCCAGTTTCCCTTATTATGGGATATTTTCTTGAGCTTGAACACAGCTTCCAACCTGGTAGTGAAGCCAAGTATTATAGTCAGTCTA